GGGTTCAGGTTGGTAGGGAGGTGACAGAGAACAACCCATTGCATAAGAAAAGGGGCATGGATTTGGCCCCATCGTAAACCAGCAGGGTAAGGGGGGAGGATGGGAAGTTAAGGCATGAACCACACCTGGGCAAAGCAAGCAAAACAACAGCTAAGGGGTTGATGGTGGGAACTCCCTCACATGTGCGGGAAGGAGGGAATGAGATTGAATCAGGGTTGTGATATTAGTGAGATAAGGGTTTGGGGAGCACACCAAGTACAAGAACGATGAGCGAACCTGTTTCATTGCCACTGTTCGTGCTTCCTTGTCCTCCACTGCATCATCGTTCACAGTCATGGCGTCCACGAGCTCCATTGTCAAACACCGTCGCGTGATGGAAGCTTCCGCGTTGCACTTGTTTGACGCATGGTACGGACGCTTCACCAAGGCGATGTGTATGTGCTTGTATATGTCTGTGCAGTAATGCACCGGTATACCTCCCCTCCTTATGTCGTCAGCGACATGCAGCATTGCATGAATCTTGGGAATGTTGAACTCAGAGCTCTGCTCGTCCTTGAAATTTTCGATCAGCAGCGGAACTAGCCTGCACACAGTGCACGAGAACAGGAAAGAGGAGAGGAGAATCCTTCAGTGCCAAATTCCTAGGGTGAACAACAATGCAACCAGAAAAGCCCAAGTGATACTTACACGCGGGTCATCTTCTCAAGGTCTTTAAGGGTCTCCTCAGTGTGGTACGCGTGGTGCCATGCTGTGGCATGCCATTGGCAGAACATTTCAATGGTTGTAACAATGGATGGGCTGACGTTTTGGCGCATCAGCAAGACAGGGAAAACTTGCATGACTGCCTGGTGCTGGAATGCATAGAAGGTGCTGTGACCACTGAAGTATCCATTCGTGTGTGCAGGTAGTCTAAAATAGGACTGTCTGCTGAATGTCGTGATGTTCGCTAGGTCTTTGTCAAGCTTGGCCAGCACGTCGTTCGACAATCTTTGCTTCAGACACTCTAGGATGTGCTTGTACACACCTAAACTGCTCATGTGCATGAGGTCTACCATGAGTGCTCGATAGGGATTGCCAAATGGCTCATCATTCCACTCGAAACCCCATAGTGCACACTCGACGCCATTTGTGTTGTGCTCAACCTCTACCTCACTATGTGCAGTCTTATTCGGTTTCCCCAAAATCTTGGCCACAAAACCAGCCTGCTCCATTTCAGTCCTATAGGTGATCGTGTGTGTCATGTCGTTCAGTGCTGAGTTTAGGACTGTGCACTTTGGACAGGGAAAAGCTGTGCTAATGCCCGACTTAGTCCCCACCACCTTACACTGCTCGGGATGGTCGCCGACATAGGCGTATGTGGCCGGATGCACCCACCACTTGATCCCGAACGGGTCAGTCATGAGCTCCCCCCTGTCGAAAAACGAGGAATGGGTAGGGGGTTGATGGGAGGGGAGAAGTTGGGACCATACAGGAAGGGGATTGTGGGACTCCGGGGGGGATCAGATTAGTGGGGTAAAGAGGCGTCAACATGTGCAAAATGACAGATCAGGCAGATGATGTAGGGGGTTTTGTCAGAAGATTGTGGGAAAGGATAAAAACAGTTGTGGGAGGGGGACAAACATACAAGAGATGTGAAAAAACTGGGGGGGAAATGTGACCTTGTAGTGGGAGGCTAGAATTAGGACAGAGTTCTAGAAACAGGGAAACCAGAACAGGGTTGGTAACAACTAGCATGGGAGATGAAAAAGGTAGGGCGAGTGTGGAGTAATGGGAAACCAGGGGGGGAAGGGTGATAATGGGAGAGGACGGTAAAAACCAATGGCCTAATGGGAAGCAGGATGGGAATGGGTGGGATGGGGGATGTGAAAAAAATAGAGGAAGTTGGAAAGGGTTGAATGAGTGGAGGGACGGGAAACCGGGGGGGGGGGGAAGGGTGATAATGGGAGGGGATGGTAAAAACCAACGGCCTAATGGGAAGCATGATGGGAATGAGTGGGATGGGGGATGTGAAAAAAATAGAGGAAGTTGGAAAGGGTTGAATGAGTGTAGAGGGATGGGAAACCAGGAGGGGAAAGGGGTGATAATGGGAGGGGATGGTAAAAACCAACGGCCTAATGGGAAGCATGATGGGAATGAGTGGGATGGGGGTTGTTAAATAATAGAGGAGATAAAAAGGGTTGGGCGAGGTGTGGAGTAATGGGGAACCAGGGGGGAAAAGGGGATAATGGGAGGGCAAGCTAAAAACCAACAGGGTCATGGCATGAATGAGGGAATGAGCGGGATGGGAGTTGTTAACAAAATAGAGGAAACTGAAAAAGGGTGGATGAGTGTGGAAGGATCCTAAACCGGAGGAGGGGGGGGGGGAGAAGGGGGGGCTAATCAATAACCTTGAAAAATGTACCCGTTCTTAAGAACTCTCTTCTGCTCTGCGAGGATAAGGCTCAGGGACTCCTGGAAGACCTCATGTCGTCTACGGGATTCCTCCCCCTTTGGAAACGTTTGCTTGTTGATTTCCGAGAGCAATGCACACAGCTGATGCCCATGGGATTTCCACCGGTTGCCGGAGGAGATGTTTCCTAACGATATGTACACCAGCCAACCTGTCACGCCATCATGGGTGGTGAGAGTCGTCTCGTCAGAGTAAATAATAACAGCCGCTACACACCCACCTGCCGGCAGCTTCGCATGTAGCTCACGCCACCATGAGCCTGTCTCTGGCCCCATGTAAAGTCTTGTAGCACCCTCAAGTAACACTTGTGGTTTGGCAACAAACTCATCAGTGTTTGCAGGGTTTTGCTACATTCCTCTGATGCAGGACATACTAGAATGGTACCAGAGGTTGATGTCTTTCAAATCTCCTCTTTTGCGCAGATTCTTCACCACAAACTTATCTATAACCGCTTCAACGGTCCGTGCCTCCTCGAATCTGTCGAAGTCCGCCATAGTTCTCAGGCTCACATGACCTGGTGCCTCTATAGCTTGAATTACAATGCTGAGCAGCTCCTTCATATCTGCCCTTGAAAGGCCAGTTCCACCAGCAGCTGCCTTGCAGAAGCTATACAATCTACTGTCGAGGTCGGCAAGTGAGGTGTCCGCTCTAGGCGAGAAGTCATACCCTGTGGTATCCGCATTAGGTTGCACATCTTCCGGATCCGGCAATGGCCTGCTCATGCGATCATCCCTAGCTGTAGCCCTTCTCTTCCTGCTGCTGAACTCCAGGACTTGTCCAGCTCCCCTCAATGCCTCCATGTACTCATGGGGGGGCTGTCCACACTCCCATGCACAGGCTGAACTTGTTTCGGCTTCGGCGTAGACGTGCACTCCACGATTAGTATGACGGTTTTTTTTAAAGAGGACATGTGAACGTGGCGAGATATCTAGCATGGTCACACTGGAACGGACCACCCCGGCCTACCATATCGCCCAAGAAGTTGAGAAAAGACCTTTCACTATAACAAAAGTACAACATAAGTTGTAACTTTATACTCAGGTACTACACAGAAGGTGCCTTCACTGCTACACCAGCTACACTGTCCATGCCACCTAAGACTCTGCTGCTGTCTTACTTAGCATGGAGACCTGCCACACCAGTGCTGCACAGCTTGTAAATTTCTTGAATCTGCTGCAGTCTTCTTGGACAGATTGTGCAGCAGAACTTATCTTCTCATGAACTCGATGAACCCTGCAGCAAATAGGTATCACGTAAGCAAGGCGTCAGTGATGGCCGCAAATGGTAACACAATCGAGGTTTAAAGGAAAGTAATACATCCCTAGGCTTTTGGATTTGCCTAAAATGTCACAAATCTCAACAAAACAGTAAACGGAAAGTACCAAAACCGTGCGCTGAAGCGAGACGCGCAGTTAAAAAATGTTAATAAACTATAATCACACCTCAACAGTCGACGGCCGGAAGAAAAAAAGCACTCGCAGCCAGGTTGGTTCCACGCTAGATCTGACAGACTCGCCACTAATAGCTACTCTAGCAGAGAAAGCGTAAAATCGGTCATAAGGTTGGAGAGCAGGACGATGCACTTGGCTCAGGAGGAGCCAGTGCGATCCAATACTGCAATCACGGTGGTTGCAATCTGTGATGTGAGATGACAGGAGTGTAAGGTGCCCTAGTGCGTGGTGCTGCATGGTGGTTCCTCGCGGTTAGGTCACTGTTTCGGATTCCTTTAGCCAAACGTGGGCCACAGTTGGCGAGGGTGACACGTGGCAAGTTTGATGGGCTATCATAAAAAACGTGACGTGGAGAGTTGGCAAGGGCGACAATTGGCATTATATTCATGACGACCGTCAAACATCTAACAAAGATAGTCCGTTCGTTCGTTCCTCCAGACTTGGTGCGGGCTTTATCCCTAATTGGGACGGACGCTCACTAAAATAGGAACAAACTACTGTGTCGCTTTTTCATTGGTCAGGTTTTCCGCCCCACCCACCTGGCCAACAAAACCGGTTCACCACATTGGCAGGTGAACTTCTGCTAGGCATATCACGCCGAAGGTTCCAATCACCACTTCTGTAAGGAATTTCCATTCCTTACTGAGTCGTGCGCTAGCGCGTACACCCGAACTCCTCGACTCGTCACGTTCGACCTCATTTATCGGCCCAACCCTTTCCCGAGTCGCGTCCGGCACTGTCGCCACATTGCCGAACTTACCCACGTTCCGAGGTTATCGCCCTAGCACGCCAACCCCTATATAACCTCGTGCCTTCATTGCAATAGCGACCTTGTATTCTCACGTTATAGTACATTGACACTTCCTATATCATAACAACTTCCAAATCCGTACTGTTCAACAGTCTCAAGCAATAGCATCGAAGACTGACCACACATTTTAAAACCGGTGTGCAATTGAAAAACCATGTACATACATTAACAAAAACCACCTACGTCAATAGCGGGGTCAACACAAAGATGAATTTTGACCTAGCAGGTGAAGTGCGACCCGCCGATGCGGAAAACATCTTCTGTTCCAGTCGCCCGCAAATCCGCAACCCCCCACAACATGCCCACGCCACTTCGCATCAACTCGCAGGGAAGTATCCCAACCACCCCCAAAACCCCGTACTCGCCAACCACACACTTGGTTGTTGTAATCCCCCACCCCCTGTTTTGCGATGCGCGTACGCCTTTGACGCGTGCGCCTTTGACGTGTGCGCCTTTGACGCGTGCGCCTTTGACGCGTGCGCCTTTGACGCGTGCGCCGTTGACGCGTGCGCCTTTGTCGCGTGCGCCTTTGACGCTTGCGCCTTTGACGCGTGCGAGCGACTGAAATGGCCCCGAGAGGGCGAGCAGCGGGCGCGCGGGGAGGGGCAGCGACGCGAGGGGCAGGGAGGGGAGGGGCAGGGAGGGGTGCGGTAGCGATGGGTGGAGTAGAGGCGAGCGGGGTGGGGGCGGGAGGAGCAGCGACGGGAGGGGCAGGGAGGGGAACGGTAGAGGCGGGAGGGGTAACGACTGGAGAGCTGGAGTTGCCCACAACGACAGCGTCGGAGGCGCCATCGGGGGGAGGCGTTATCTCGCCGTGGTGCCTGCACGTGCACACCGTGCTCGGCACGCGCTTGCTCGTCCCCGCCGCTCCCACCGCCACCATAAGCGACCTCCTCCGTGCGTCCCCGTCGCCCCACACTTCTAATTCCCCGGCGCTCGTGTCGTTTGCCCCCTACCCCTTTCCCCCTTCCCCTCCCCCTCTGCTCGTCCCGCCGCTCCCTCCGCCACCATAAGCGACCTCCTGCGTGCGCCCCCCTCGCCTCCTGCCCCTCTCGCCCTCCGCTCGACGTGGAGAGTTTTTCTCCTCCACCCAATGCTATTCGTCTTCCCTCTGTTGCGCTTCCTCCTCTCTCCTCCCCTTGTCAACCCCCTCATCTCCTTCCCCATTTTCCTCCTTCACCCCTTCCCCTCCCCTCCCTCTATCACTCCCTCTCTAACCTACTCCACCCCGCACCCCCCTCCCCAACCGCCCTTCCTCCCGCTCTGCAGATGGAGTGAGCGAGCTGCACCAGCGTGTGCACCCGGAGAAGGGTGCTGTGCGCTTCGAGTCCGCCAAGGTGTGTACCTCTCCACCTCTCCTCCCCTCACGCGTTCCCTAACCCCTTCCTTTTGACTCGACTCAAAAGTCAGTTTCTTCAACCCTCCCCTGACCACCCCGTCCCTTAAACCCTTCTTACCCACTCCTAAAACCCTCGTTAAACCCGCCTTAACCCCTCGTTACGCCCTCGTCAAACTCTCCTTCAACCCTCTTCAAACCCTCATTAACCCCTCCATAACTCCGCCCTAACCCCTCCCTCAACCCCCCCGCGAGTGCATCAAGCGCTGAAATCACAGGCCGAACTCAACCCGAAGCTCTAGCTCGACCCTACATCACCCCTGGTCAAAACCTTCAACCCCCTTATAGTCGAAAACCCTGCACCATGGGGGTGGGCGTTTCCAGCCTCCCCTTTCTCGCACACCCACCAAACCGCACCCTACGTGTTCCTCTCGCCCCTTCATTGTCCACCTCTGGCCGATCTCTCCCCACCATTCCCCACATTCCCTTCCCCTCTGGAATCCTCCTTTCTCCCCATTCCCCCCTGTTGCCTCCTGCCAAAGGGCTGTTCCGCCGCTCGGCCCTGTTCGCGGTTGCTCAACTCGCCCTTCACGTCCCCTCTGCTATCCTCCTTTTCTTTCCCCGTTCTCCCCCCGTTCTCCCCCTCTCTTTCCTCCTGCCGAAAGCAGGTGTTCCGCCACGCAGCCTTGTTCGCAGCCGCCCCTCACTTCAAACTGGCCGAGTGTTTAAAACAAGATGACGTCATCCTCGCTTTCACCGGGGATGCCGATGTTGCTGCTGATGTCAGCGGTGAGCTCGCATGGCTGCTGTTTGGTTGGGAGTTCCATGGCCTTGCATCGCACTTGCTCGCCCCTCCCCCCCCCTTCTTCCCCGCGTGGTCGGTATGTGTCTCAGACGAGTGCTTCTTCTGCATGTCGTGTCGTAGTCGTATTCACATTCGTATTCATATTCGCCCCTCCCCTTGCACGCGACCCTTCCTCCTCCAGATGCTCTCCTTCCACATGTTTTGAGTCTGTGTGCATGTGAGTCAATGAGGAACGCATGTCCTTGTCATCTCGCACCTTCTCTCCCTCGCGCGCCGGTCCCCGTGTCCCCGTGTCCCCGTGTCCCCGTGTCCCCATTTCCCCGTTTCTCTCATCTTCCCTCCCCTTGCCACTTACCTCACCTCGTCGCCTTCTTTCCTCGTCTCCCCTTGTCAGCCCATCCGACATTGCTTCACCTCGCCTTTGGGTTCTCTCTCAAAAGCAGTGCGGACCCTCTCCCCCGTCACTTGCCCTCTCCTTACATTTATTCCTTCACTCACCCAAATTCTCCTCTCCCTTGTGTTTGTCTTCTTTGCATGTCCCCGTTCTTTCCATCATGCTGCAGACTATCTGACGCACCACCTCGCCTTTGGCTTCTCTCTTGAAAGCAACAACGACCCTCTCGTTCGTGGCCATCATCACCTGCCACGTGGCAGCCTTTCCTGTGACCACGTGGCGTTCCAGCGTGGGCTGCTGTCCGCCCTTGCTGCTGCTGACGTGGCAGAGAGGGGAGTGGTGTCGGTCAGCCAATCGGGAGAGAGGAGGAGAGTGAGGGGGGTGGTGGTAGGGGGAGGAGGGAAAAGGATGAGGTTTGATGGGGGAGTGGGGAAGAGAAGAGGGGATATGCTACAGTTCACAGATGGGGGGGCAGGAGAGGGGCAAAATAGGGGAAAACACGGAGAGGGGGGAGAAGGGGGAGCAGGAGGAGGGGCAGGAGATGAGGAAGCGAGAGGGAAGGTGGCTGGTCAAAACGAGTGGGCGCTAGAGACCTGTCAGGAGAAAGGGAGGGGAGCAGTCGAGGAAAAGGCAGGAGCAGGAGGGATAACAGGAAGGAAGAGGAGGGGAGGGGGAGGGGAGGCACAGGTGGGTGGCAAAGTGGGGCCTGAAGTGGGTCGAGAAGGGGGGGGCGAGAGGAAGAGGAGGAGGGAGGGTGCGGAGGAGCAAATGGTTGCCGATGGAAACGGACGGCAGGCAGCCGGGGAGAAGAGAGAAGCGGAGAGAGCTGATGGGGAGACGGTGGGTGAGGGGGGTTTGGAAGTGGGACGGGTCGGGAAGAGACAAAGACGAGGAGAGGGGAATGAGCAGGAGGGGGGGAAGGTGGAGGGGAAAGAGGGTGGTGAGGGGAAGGTGGAGGGGGGTGCAGTGGGGGGGAAGATGGATAGTGCGGGTGAGGGGGATGGGGGAAAGAATGAGAGAGCGAGAGGAGATGGGGAGGGAGGAGATGGGGAGGGAGGAGATGAAAAGAAGGAGAGTCGAGGGGTGCAGGAGAGGACAGGGACGAGGGGGGAGGACGAGGTTGAGGAGAAGAAAGAGAAGGGCGAAGACGAAGGAATGAAAGGGAAAGCATCACACGGAGGGGGTGAGGCGCTGAAGGAGAGAGAAGGGAGTGCGGGAGAGGATGGGATTGCAAGGAAGGATGGTGGTGCTGGGGGGAAGGGAGGTGGTGGAGAGGGGAGGAATGAAGAAGTGGTGAGTCTTGTAGGGGATGAAAGTGGGGAGAGCGAGGAGGAGAGTGAAGACGAGAGCGAAGGGAGTGAGGCTGAGTGTGAAGAGGATGGAAAGGAAGACAAGAAGGATATGGAGATTGAGAAGGAGCGATCAACGCAGGTGGAAGATGAGGAAGAGCGAAAGGCTTCAGAAGGAGATGCGAAAGAAAAGGGGAAGTCTAAGAATGAGGAAAGTGAGGATGATGATTCTGAGACAGTAGGGGAGACAGAGGAAGAATCCGACAAAGAGACAGAGGAGGCCGAGGAGGAGGCAGGGAAGGAAGGGAAGGAAGGGAAGGAGAAGGCAGTGTGGGGAAAGGGCAAGGAGAAGACCAACAAAGAGTCAGAAGAAGAGGAGGAAGAGGACGAGGAGGAGGGAGAGAGAAAGGCTTCAGAAGGAGATGCGAAGGAGGAGGGGAAGACTGAGAATGAGGAGAGTGAGGATGAGGAAGAATCTGACGAAGAGACAGAGGACGCAGGAAAGGAAGGAAAGGAAGGGAAGGAAGGGAAGGAAGGGAAGGAAAGGAAATCAGTGGGGGAAAAGGACAAGGGGAAGTTGGATGAAGAGTCGGAAGAAGAGGAGGAAGAGGAGAAAGAGGAGGAGGAGGAGGAGGAGGAGGAGGAGGAGGAGGAGGAGGAGGAGGAAGAGGAAGAGGAGGAGGAAGAAGAGGAAGAGGAGGAGGAGGAGGAGGAGGAGGAGGAGGAGGAGGAGGAGGAGGAGGAGGAGGAGGAGGAGGAGGAGGAGGAGGAGGAGGAGGAGGAGGAGGAAGAGGAGGAGGAGGAGGAGGAGGAGGAGGAGGAGGAGGAGGAGGGAGAGGAGCAAGAGGATGAGGTGGTGATGGTGGAGAGCGGTGGGGGGGCGAGCAAGGAGCCAATAGAGAAGGCTGGGACTCAAGCTGCTGCTGCTGCTGCGGTGAGCACAGCTGTGGCGAAGAAGGAAGCAGAAAGCAAGGCAGATGGAAAGGGAGCAGAGTGCACAGCAGCGGCGGGTAAAGTATCGAAAGAGAAAGAAGAAGCAGGTAAAGCAGACGGAAGCAAGGGGGTGGGAAAAGGAGCAGCAAGTAAAGCAGCAGAAGGCAAAGGGGTGGAACGAAAGGGAGCAGCAGGCAAAGAAGCTGCAAGTAAGTCCGCAGCAGCAGCAGCAGCAGCGGCAGCAGCAGACAAGGTTCCTGATGCTTGTGAGAAGGGTGTTGAGGTGAAGGGAGAGAAAGAGGGCGGGGTGGATGAGGAAGGGAGTGAGGAGGAGACCGAGGAGGAGAGTGAGGAGGAGAGTGAGGAGGAGAGTGAGGAAGAGGCGAATGAGGAGGGGAGTGAGACGGAGAGTGAGGAAGAGGAGGAAGAGGAGGAGGATGATAGTGGGGGTGAGGAGGCGGAGAGTGTGGAGGAGGTTGTTGAGACGAGCAAGGAGAAGGCAAAAGATAACAAGGGGTTGGTGAAGGGCAAGGGGAAGGCGAAGGGGGCAACAGAGGACGGTAAGGCGAAGGGGGGGCAGAGAAAAGTGGAGGCAGAGAGTGGGGAGAAGGAGAAGGGCGCGATAGAGGGAGGTGGGAAAGGGACAGCGGTAGCAGCGGCTGTGGCGGCAACAGCAGCAGTGGGTGGGAAGGGTGGAAGCAAGCGGGGCGGGAAGAAGGGGGGTAAGGGCAAGGAAGGAGAGAGTGGGTCTCCTGCCTCACTGCCTGCTGCTCCTGCTGCTGCTCCTGCTGCTGCTCCCGGCGCCGTGGCAGCGCCAAGTGTTGCTGGTACCGCTGTTGCTGTGAGTGATAAGACTACTTCTGCAGCAGCAGCCAAGGGTCGTGGTAAGGCTGCTAAAGCTTCCGATGCTAAGGGTGCTGCTGCTGCGGGTAACGTTGCTGTGGCCAATGACGTGGCTCCTGCAGCTAGACCTCGTGGCAGGCCTGCTGCGAAAGCAACACATGCTAATGTGTCTGCAGCTGCTGCTCCTGCTGTCAGTGAGGCAGCCCCTCGTGCAGGCAAGAGGCGTGGTGCCAAGGCTGCTGCTATGCCCCCTGCTGCTGCTGCTGCTGCTGCTGCTGCTGCTGCTCCTGCTCTTCCGCCTGCTCCTGCTTCTGCTGAGGATCCTGCTGCCACTGAGCCTGTGCCTGCAGCAGGCAAGGCGCGAGGTGGTAAGGCTGCTGCGAAGCCTGCACCTGCTGATGTTGCTGCTCCTCCTGCTGCTGCTGCTCCTGCTGTTGCTCTTGGTCCTGTTGGTGCTGTTGGTGCTGCTGGTGCTGTTGGTGCTGCATGTGCTGCTGCTGCAGGGAGGGGAAAGGCTGCCCAAGGGAAGGCGCCAGGAAGAGGAAACACAGCAGGGAGAGGAGCAGGAAGGGGAAGGGCACGAGGACGGGGAAAGGTAGCAGTGGAGGCAGGCCGGCCAGAAGCAGCAGCGAAAGCTGGTAGTGCTGCTGCTGCAGATACTTCATTGATGTTGTCCCACGGAGGAACAGCTGTGGATGTAGCAGTAGCAGCAGGTAGAGCAGTTGTGGGTGGGGGGGCAGTAGGTGGAGGAGCGGGTGGGGGAGCAGCAGCAGCAGCAGCAGCAGCAGCAGCGGCAGCGGCTCCAAGAACAGGTTTTCCCCGATACACGCCCCCAAGTGCTGCCGCTGCACCCACTCCCTCCCCCTTGCCTCCTGCTCCACCAGCCGAACCATCCAGGTAACTTCCCAGATTGTCCAGGTAACTTTCCGGTTTGTCCAGGTAACTTCTTCGCGCATCTTCCACTACTCGTGCATCCATTTCGTAGAATTGTTGGCGCGGTGGCGCTACCCTCCCCCCTCTCAACACAATCTACCTACAGCCTTTTTCTCTTGTGTCTCCCTCTTTTCCACTTGTTTTCCTCGCCGGACTTCTTTCCTCTAGTTTCTTGCGCACTCTCTTAAATCCCCTTCTATGCTCTCTCTCGCCCTCCCTGCTGCCTGCATTGCAGCCCTTTCCCTGTCCTGGACCTCGGAGACATTCTCAAGATGCTATAAACTGCTTCGACGATGAGGAAACTTTTCAGTTGTAATGTCCCTGCTATTTTGTCTACTTTCAATGTACACTCTGGATTAGATATTCTAGCCATCTTATAGTTTTTGTGTAAACACTCTTCATTATCTACAATGGAATACCATTAGTTATTCGGGACGTGTGTCAGAGTAACGAAGTGAACTCTAGCAAGAGCATACAGGGTGATGCAGTATACACCTGGCTAAAAGCCCCATGGGTCTTTATACCGGGGTGGGTCTTATCCTGTGCATCCCGATATTGAGGACCCCCCTTTTTGGCGGTTGTAGGATAAGACCCCTTTCCAGTCAACTAGGGGTCAGCCTGATTGTTCGCGTCAGCACAATTCTTGTCATTTTCGCTTCGCCGATGAGGTGGCGCCACATGGTGTGCCCTGAGTAGCGAGTTTTTCCTAGCGCGAGCTCAGAAAACAGATCTCGCGTCACCAATGTTGTGGTAAATGAAGTTTCGCATTCCTGCAAGTTCCGTTTTCATTGTAGTTAGTATCAGAAATTGAAGAAGTGAATGATCGTTAGAGAGAGGGTACACACAGATATACCTAAGTCTTGTACCCTCTAAGAGGCTACCCTATACAGTCTATACAAACATGACAAATACACATGTTTGACACACCCCCTAGACTGCATAGGGGAATGTCCTAAACAAGCAGCTCAGGGCGGCACTACTAGTCCAACCTCTGAGACAAGGGTCTGAGAGACCAGTCAGAAGGAGTACAGACAAGGCAAGAACAAGAGCAGGGCGGCACTACTAGTGCAGCCACTGGGAGAGGACACAAGTCCAGTCTGAGTATACATATAAGGGACAGTACAAAGTCAAGGTCCTAGCAAGTGAGAGGCTACAGGAACTAGACCAAGCTGTACACAGTGCCGCTGATGATCTTTAGGCGCAAGCGCCTTCGTAAAGATATCAGCCGTGTTGGCACCTGAGGCCAAGTGTACTACGCGAGCCTGACGTCGCTGCTGTAGCTCACGCAGGAGGAAGTACCGCAGGTGAATGTGCTTCGCTCTGCCCTCGAGTCGAGGCTCCTGACACAGGAGGATCATGGCCCTGTTGTCAGCGAACAGGACCGGGGCAGAGCTAGGCCGCTCACCTAAGTCAGTGAGCAAGAAGGTCAGCCAGCAGAGTTCCTGTGCCGCCATGGCACCAGCGTAGATCTCAGCCTCACAGCTGGACTGGGCAACAGACGAGGAGCGGGTAGCTCTCCATGAGACGGCACCTGAGCCAAGGCTGAAGCAGTAGCCCTGGGTAGACCTGAGTGTCTCAGCGTCGTCTGCCCACGAATCGTCTGTGTGTCCAGTAAGGACCACTGGCCTGCGTCCTCCTAGCACCAACCCCATGCCCGATGTACTAGCAAGATAACGCAGAACCGTCTTAGCGGCAGACCAGTGCTGCGGTCGGTGTCTGCCTGTGGCCACAAAGCGAGCAAGGATGCTGAGAGGGTATGCGAGATCTGGGCGAGTGCAAGTCATCAGGTACATGAGGCAACCCACCAGCTCTGCGTAGGGGCCGCTGGGCTCTACCAACTCCTCAGACACTGGAGCGGAGAGCCTGTGGTCTACAGGCAGAGGGGTGGGCTGTGCAGAGGAGAACTGAAGGCTGAACCTCTGAAGGACCTGGCGCACCAAGTGTGACTGAGTCAGGGTGATGGAGCGCGCAGCTCTGTCCCTGGAGATCTGCAAGCCAAGGTAACGGCACAGTTCTCCAAGGTCAGTGCAGGTGTGTCTCTTCAGCAGCTCTGCCTTCACGGAGGCCAGTGCGTCCTTGTCTGCTGTGGCAAAGACCAGGTCGTCGACGTAAACAAGGATGTAGAACGGAGTCTGGCCAACACAAACGAAGAGGGAAGGGTCTGCGGAAGACGGAAAGAACTGCAGGTCAGCAAGCGTAGCACGGAGAGTGTCGTGCCACTCACGGGGAGCCTGGCGCAGGCCGTAGACGGGGCGCCGCAGGAGCCACTGGGTCCCAGGAGGGAAGGTGCCAGTAAAGCCCGGAGGGCGACGTAGGTAGACCTGATCGTGTAGGCTGCCCTGAAGGAAGGCAGTGGAGAAGTCGAGGGAGTGAAGCTCGTAGTCACGCTGAGCAGCTAGGTGTAACAGAACCCGAAGAGTAGTCATCTTCGGGGTCGGAGCGAAGGTCTGGAAGAAGTCCACCCCCTCGCGCTGACTGAAGCCTCTAGCCACGTAGCGCGCCTTGAACACAGGCGGCTCTCCAGGAGGGCGCTTCACCTTGAAGAGCCAGCGGCCATCGACTACGTTCACCCCAGGCGGGGGAACTGCGTCGACGAAGGTGCCGGTGGATCTCCAAGATGCCATCTCCTGCTCCATGGCAGCTATCCACTGCGAGGCCCAGGGTCCCGAGGTCGCCTCAGCGTAAGTGCGAGGGGTCGGGATGTCAAAAGCGTCTGGGTCACCCTCAGGGACTAGCAGCATGGAACAGAGATGGGGAGCAGCCTCGGAGAGGAAGGCAAGCTCGAACTGGCGGTCCTCCAGGACGTCACTGCCAAGGGCAGGAGCACCCCCGACAGACGGAGGACAGGCACGGTCAGAGACCAGAGCGGAGGCGTAGTCAAGGCGGCGGGAAGAGGCGAAGTCAGCGACAGCAGCGACAAGGGCGTCAAGGCACGAGGCCGGAACAGACGGGTCGGTAACGAGAGAGGCAAGGACGCGAGGAACAAGAGGACGAGCGGCACGAAGGTAGTCAGACAGCGGGGGGGGTGCAACAACAAGGGAGGAAGGAGGAGGCGACGGCAGAAGGGGAGGACGAGACGCATGGGAATGAAGCAACATAGGGTGGGAGCGCAGGACAGGCGAGGCAGGACGAGCACGGGAGGGACGGTGAGACCAGACGTGCGACGGAGGAGTCGGGTCAGGACGAACAGGTACATTAGCGAACAGGTACTTTCCCTAGAGCTATAAATCCTTGTAATGCCTTTCTATTATTAACCTTGACTTTCCACAGAATTATGTGCTCAGGTTATTCAACTTTGATTACTCACAAGTTCACGTACTCAGGTTATTCAACCTTGACCTCTACATTTTACAAGACTTCCGCTGTCTTACTAGTCTACCATTCCAGCAAAGATCCTCGACCAACACTTGAGGGTTTGCCAAGTGTTCTTGTTTAAAGTTTTATACTTAGTCTTCTACTTCACCTGGAGATTAATTTCATGGTATGAGAGCTATCTGGAATCAAGACTACCGTCAACTAAGACTGGTTCATCACCAGCACCATCTGCCACATCAGTTACTGGGACTACTGGAGCACATGCCTCCACTACGGCCGCTAGTCTCTCAGCCTCTGGGCACTTTCCACTAGCCTACGCTAATATCGGTATGCAACAGCAGAATCCGCCTTCTGTGAATACTCCAGGTGCTCCATCGACTGCACGTGCAACGCAACAGCAACAATCACAGACGACAACACAGCAACAATCGTCGGCACAGCCACCAGTTTCAACGCAATCGATTTCATTTGCGTTCAGTGGAATGAGCCTTGACGGCTCAAGTTACATGCGAGGAGCCAGAGCTCCAAATACCGATTGGTTCGCTTTCTCACCTTTCATACAGCAGCCGCAGTCACAGCAGTTTCAGCATCCCTTTCATGTCTTCGGACGTTCCCCTGCTCAGCAACAACAACAGCAGTATCAGCAACCACAGCAAGTACAACAGCAACAACATCAACAGCAACCACAGCAAGTACATCAACAGCAACAACAGTAACAGCCAGGCATTGTTTTTCAGCCTCCAAATTTACTCAACAATACTCAGATCAAGACAACCGTACCTTTTAACGGATTTGACTTCTACTCCTGGAGCTTCGAATTTGAGCTTCTGGCACAGTCCGCTGGGTTGTGACCGTTCTTCACTGGCGAGTTTACGTACCCTGTCGTGGGAACACAACTGGAGCCGCAGAGTTTTTTACACGCCTCTCTCGGGGCGTATACAGTTCTTGTACGCAACTTGTCATCGAAGGAGCAGCTCGGCGTTCGATCTTTTCACTCAAGTTTCACACCTGCCGAAACTGCATGGAACCATCTGAAAGGGGTATACATGGCAAAGGATACGATAACAGTGAGTAAGATACTTTCGCAGCTGACAAGTGTGCAGATGATGACAAACGAAAACGTCATGGACTACGTTAACCGTGTCCGTACACTACGAGATCAACTGGAAAATAGCGGATGATACTTCCCTCGTGAGATGTATCTCACGGTCCTTCTTGCTGGCCTTGGACCCGAATGGCGACAGACGCGTGCCTTCCTGCGTATGAATCAGAACCTCTCCGAAGCTGAAATTTCGTCGTATCTTCAAGCGGAGCAGCAAGATCTTGACCTGTAGTCACAACGCAACAAACAGGGAGATATACAACTTAGTTTCTATTCAACACCAACTCGACGTCCTCGACACTTCTGTCAAAATTGCAACAAGGGAGGACATTCTACCGACCGATGCTATTTTAACAAGAAGTATTTACCTCCTAAAGAATTGCAGAGGTCGCAATCATTACAGCAACTGCGACAGCCTTCGAAGCAGTTCTTTCAGCAACATACGCCTCCAAAATCATCATCTGCAATATCAACACCACCAACGACACTCAGTTCTGCCCCTCCATGCAACTCATCAAAGCCGGCCGCAAATAATTCAAACTCTGCCAACAAAACGGTAACGTCAAAAATTTTCTTACCAACTTCAAACACTCACATGTCTGGTTGCAGTACAGATACCGATACTTGGTACTTGGATAGTTGTTGTGGCCATCATATGGTCTCTTCAACCAATCCTTTCATCTACAACCGTCGTCGACTTCTTCAACCCTGTCCAATCACACTCGCCAACGGTCAAACAATTTCAGCATAAAATATCGGCAGTTTACTTTTGACATCACTCGATACGGGAAAGTCTTTATGCCTTACCAGCATTTTACTCGTCAACAATCTTGGCTTCAATTTAGTGTCAACTCTTCAACTCTTGAAGAAGAAAATCCGCACGGTTGGAAACTGCACGACACAAGAGCAAGAGTTAATACACGATGTGGACAACACGAACATCGGAAGAGCAGCAACAAACAATGCTGTATTCGTTTTACGCTTCAAGGCAGTAAAACTTTCTGAAGATGCCGCTCCTCTTCAAGCTCCGTCAATCATCGCAGCAGTAGCTTTGGTAACCATTACATCGATTGAACTCAGCAGCAGCGAAGCAGAAACTCCGAGTAGCAGCACCACCGACATCCTTGCCGACACACCTGCCGTTAATATCAAGGAAGATATTAGTCAAGAACACGAGGAAAATCTGCTACTCGCTCATGAAATTTTCTTCGATGCTACAACTACTCTCGACAAGCCTTCAGGAACATCTTCAACTATCACTCTACCGGAGAAAGGTTATGAACTCTCAAGGTTTCTCCTACCTTCATATTTCATGCTCTTGATTCTTGCTTGGCTGGCCATAACAGCAAGCAAGCTCAGTACCCCGCTGCAGCCTTTCCTATACTATAGAGCAGCCGCTTACCACACTACGACCTCCAACGACTACGAGCAAGGCCTGGGCATCAACTGCTACCAAACCCCTCGTCATCACGTTCAAGAATGCAACGAAGCAGAAGGGTTGAACAGTACCCTTCACGAGCTACGTGAGCAGCTGCGTGCACTGCTGACTCAACAAATTTCTCTGCCCGTCACTTTACGATTCTCTGTCAAGCTTCCGGATGATAGCGAGGCTTCTCTCCACTACGTGCAACACTCTCGTGGTTTTGCATTCGTCCCCTTCGGCCTTGCCACGTTCATTGGCGCAACCCCAACCATTTTCAACTTGACTCATTTTTACTATGCCGAAGTGATGGGGGGAAGGAGGATCTACACGCACTTCGTCAAAGCCAAAATTCATCATCAACAAGGGAAGAACGCGATTGGTCTACCATTTGACCAATGGAATGACCGCCGACTACTTACAGCACATGATGTTTACACGTCACAAGATTCCAAATTTCAGATTTCATTCGCCGAACTTCAACCACGACGTGACAACATCGAACTTCCAGGAATGAAGGGGAGTGTTGTGGTAAATGAAGTTTCGCATTCCTGCAAGTTCCGTTTTCAGTGTAGTTAGCAGTATCGAGTTTCTCAGTAAGTAAACAGGTCCGAGTGCTGATGTCAGCAAAGCATCGCGGGTCTAGTGATGACGTCAGCATCCCGTTTCAGTTACGCGATTATGCGTAACGAGTCGTTTCAGTCACACGAACAGTTGCAACCCTATAGAATGACGAATAGGTCGCATAGCGCGATAGTGACGAACAGGTACATTAGCGAACAGGTACTTTCCCTAGAGCTATAAATCCTTGTAATGCCTTTTTATTATTAACCTTGACTTTCCACAGAATTATGTGCTCAGGTTATTCAACTTTGATTACTCACAAGTTCACGTACTCAGGTTATTCAACCTTGACCTCTACATTTTACAAGACTTCCGCTGTCTTACTAGTCTACCATTCCAGCAAAGATCCTGGACCAACACTTGAGGGTTTGCCAAGTGTTCTTGTTTAAAGTTTTATACTTAGTCTTCTACTTCACCAGGAGATTTATTTCAACCAATAGCCACCCTCTGCTGCCGCTTCTGCACTCGTGTCCGGCAGAAACCCGTACACCAACCCCTGTATCTGAGTTGTCCTGCTAGAGAGGATGTCGTCAACTGTGGGAAGACACGTGCCGCCTTCCTTCCGCAAGGAGCTCGTCAATGCATCCTTGGCATCTTTCCATGATCGGGCAATGCCACCACCTCGTTCACCTTCCAACACAGAGAACAAAAGCCGCGCGGATGTTTAGTGAATAGGAGTCAAAGCTTAGCTACTACACGTTGCAATCCAGACTTACCGGCAGTAGCGGCTGCAGTCGTCAGCTTCTTGATCAGGTCTGGCGCCCTCTCAATCAGAAGTAGCAGGAGGTCCCCGTCCTTCGGCAGCTTGCTGCCGCCCGAGGCACTGGCCAGCCCGCACCTTAGAATGTGGAGGAGCACTTGCAACTGCGTGTTGAGGGTGAGTCTACGCTTATGATGCCCCTCGTTGAGTGCGCGCACAAGGGCACTAACCTCGACCTGGAACCCATGCATGATGGGATGGTGCGCAAAATATGGCATGTGGTGCGAAATATGGCATATCCTTCGTGGCATGGCATTATAGGGGTCAAAGCTGTTCAACCATCCGCGAAGTCATAGGACGTTAAACAATTGGCAAGGAGTCATGACAATGTGTGGTATATGCAACCCCAATCCGCGGGACTGTTGGATTCGTGCACGAAAAAACAGAAGCCAGCGCAATCCAGAGTTATGGATGTGCCAAGGAGGCAAATAGTGATCACTGACCTCATCCTGGCTGCGTCCAGCAGTCGATGGCATGGGTGCACCCGCACTATCATGTGTACCCTCTTCGGTCCCGTCGCAATCCAGCTCCTGCGTATGGGCGTTGGAATGAATTGTCATGCTTGGCATGTTGGATGACGTGGGATCTGGCATTTGATTTCACCGTAGCCACAAGAAACAGTGACAAGACACGCTGGCAAGCAATGTTTAGATGCACCTGCTCTTTGCTACACCCAAAGACCAGCCCCCCCGCACACAACACTTGACCAGTCCGAGATGTGTGCGTGCCCGGGCCGGCCTAAATGCTCACTGACCTCGTAAACAGTGCCACCCGCGGACTCTGCAGACGGCACGACTGCACCATTTAGAGTGACATTGGCCGCCATCTCAGAATCACAATAGGAGCCGCCACACGTTGCTGAAATGTAGGCATATGGGTTTGGAAAGGGGTGAGTCACACATGCCACACAAGGAGCTGCCACACTATACTATGATAGGTATGGTGATTAAAGCAGTGGTGGGTCTCACCTATGACACCCTAAGCTGCCACACAATGCTGAATCATAAGCATATGGTTCTGGAAAGGGGTGGGTCTCACCTGTCACACAAGGAGCTGCCACTCCGTATTAGGATAGGCATGGGGATTAGAGCAGGGGTAGGTCTCACCTGTGATACCTTGAGCTGCCACACAATGCTGAAACATAAGCATATGGGCCTGGAAAGGGGTGGGTCTCACCTGTCACACAAGGAGCTGCCACTCCGTTCTAAGATAGGTATGGGGATTGTAGCAGGGGTAGGTCTCACATGTGACTCCCTAAGCTTCCACACCATCCTGAAACATAAGCATATGGGCCTGGAAAGGGGTGGGTCTTACCAGTCACACAAGGAGCTGCCACACCGTTCTAAGATAGGTATGGGGATTATAGCAGGGGTGGGTCTCACTTGTCATATAAGCAGTTGCCACACCTTTCTGAAACTAGGCCTATGGATTAGAACAGGGGTGGGCTTATCTGTCAGCTAGAGAGCTGCCACACCGTGCAAAGATAGTCATGGGTTTTACACAGGGGTGAGTCTCACTTGTAGCATTAGGTGGTGTCACTCCGTGCTAAGATAGGCAAATGGGCATAGGATGGGGGTGTGTCTCTCCTGTCACAAGGGCCTGCTAGGTTATGGCATGCAGACGTTGGGTGATTGTGGGATTAAGTCAGCTCTGACAGGTCGGGAACTTGGGGAGGTGGTCCTTGTGCGGGCGAGGGGCTACAGTCCCACCTCGTCACGATCATTGCTGCCACAGAGTGTTCTTTGGTGGTTTGGTTTTGCAGGGCGAGTTCCACTGTTGATGGACTAGGGCTTTTTATGCATGCCCAGCTTTGCACGGAACTCGCTTGAATCTGGGTCTTACGTGAAAGGTTGGCCCTGCTCTCCGTGCTCGAGGTGGCATCCGTGTTGATGGGCATGGGTCTTTCCAGCGCGTGAAAGAGGGGTTCTGGATGCTTACTGGTGGTTCAGGGGAGGACTGAGTCACCGGTCAGTCTAGGGCATGAAGGTCATGTATCTCACCGTTCTGCGTTCCCTGGTGGACGCTATGCTTGAATGAAGTCAATTGCTGTGCAGTGCATCCTTGTCCAAGCTTTGATCTCTTGCCCCCTCTGTTGGTCCCGAAGGCAGCTACGAAATCTATCCGTTACGGTACCACCACCCTACCTCTGGCTGTTAGACTCTAATCTATTTAGGCTTATTTGGAAAAAGAGTTACCTCCCATCTCTTTTGGGCTGTAGTGTGAGCGGAGGTCAGCTCTATGCTGAGTATATCCTGCCTCGTGGCTGCTGTATAATCTAGCACTGTCACCTCGGTCATTGGCGCAGCTTGCTACATCATTCTTCTCTTAGGGCAAGGACCAAGCCCGCTAGGTTGGAGGCTCTCCACGCCTGTGTATGGATGGTATGGGCTACAGGTAGGGCAACCCCCCTTGGTTTAGCCGTTGACGAGACAGACCAGAGAGCATAGACGCTTTGGCGTCGCCACGTCTTTCACCCCGCCAAGTGTAGTGTCGCGTCGTCTAAGCTCCTGCAAGCCTCCCTCCATGTTGTCGTGGGGTCTCTCTTAGGTCGCCCCTGTATTTTCGGTGTTTCCGATACCCGCGACCGCAAGCTCCCGCGTTCGTCTCAGGTGTACTGCTTGTTTCCGATAGCCCATGTAATTGCTCTGGCATGCTGTGTATCTCCCCCTCCTTACGGGTTGTGCTGGTTGTTGCGCGGCGTTTGTCGGTAGGGAACACTTTGCATGGCCCTGGACATGCCGCTGGGCGGATTCATGAGGCAAGTGAATAGCTTTCTCTAGGCAATTTTTGCATTATATCAATCTTGGGATCGGTGCATGCGTGTATTGTCCACATATTCTGTTTTGCGATTGTCGTGGCATCTTCAACCAGTCACTGCTCGCCCACACGCTGTATCTAGCTGGCACCGCGTTTTGTGCACATCCAGCAAACGTGCCTTTCCCTTTCTAGTTTTGCACGTACATTCTCAAGCCTGGGCCTCTCAGCGCATGTCACGTTTGACCATCCCTCTTTTTTTTTTTTCTCGACTGCATGTGCTATTACAAGCTGGTTCTATCCTACAGGATTTTCACGCACGTTAGCGGCATATCAAGCTATCTTCTCAGAGGGCCCTCGGTCTTGTAGTTGGGATCATGCGCCCTCCGTTTTCCTCCTCTTGCGATACTTCTCTCCTCCGTTTTCATGCTTCGCAGGATGCTGCGAAAGCACAACCATTGGTGGGGGCACATAGGGGGTGGGGGAACGAGCATGGAAGTGGGTTACTTAGTATATTCTTCAATGTGCAGCCTAACATAGCGCTGGGTTTTGTGGATATTCAGTTGTTCGTGCACTTTGTTTTTGTCTCGCCACCTCGTTTCCCTAGCGCAGCTCGTCGGCAGGCCGTAGGTGTGTGCACCCACATGCGGCTACGCGCGGGTGTTTCTTTCCTAGGTTATGAGCCGAGTAGCTTTCAAGGAGTGGGTGTCGGATGGAGAGTAAATTGCGGCTCGATGTACCTCGGCGTCATTCAAGCTGATTACCCAGACTTCTGCCCTGTACTCATCGTTGGCCGTCAACCCGCTTGCTGTGGTCATTCGTTCTATGATTCGAGTGTAGGCCAAGCCCTAGCTGTGCCTCAACCTCTGTTTCGGTCAGTGCGCGACCCTCCTGAGCCTGCGCGGCGCACAATCTCATCACGGTGCAGAACGCGAGGGACGCCGCACTCCTGGTGGCAACTTCGTCTGGCCGTGCCATACCCTTTGCACTTGCCCCTGAATCCCCTCTATAAATTCTCTCCGTAGCGGCCTGAAAGAATTCAACAAGGGTGCTTTTCTCCGACTAGTAGAATGCATAGGATAGCTGTGATATGGCGTGTTAGTAGCTTTGGATGACCGCGACTGGTCGTGTGAAGGTTCCCATTGATGCAAACCTAGGCCCAACTTGAAAATCGAGTTGGGCCCAAGTTGATTTCCCTCCCGTTTCAAATTTTCGTCGCATTGGTTGTGCGCGACCTCTTGCGACCCAAACCCGCATTTTGGGCTGACGACCTGGTCTGACAGCGCTTGCGGTGTGCTTGAGTGTCGATTGGATTGGGGGGAACCAATTGTATGGCAGTTTGAGCTGTTGAGCTATGCTGCCCCAACAAATCGGAACAGTGTGTGTAGCCCGACTTTCCACTTCTAAATCCCTTAGCAAAAACAACGACCCAAGCACCTTTCAAGCTAGTCCCAGGTTTGCTATCTTTGTCTTGCGCTTTAAAAGACACACGCCCCCCAAAAAAAGTGGGGCAGGTTAAGACCCTAGGGTCTTTTAGCCGGATAAATACGATATAAGCATTTGGTGTTGTACTCTCTAGAGCACGAACCCATCTAGCCGATAATTATACATGCACCGCAAATGTATAAGTTGACACACCCCCTAGGCTAGATAACAGGTGGTGCCTAGCAATAGACACGCAGCTCAGGGCACCACTACTAGTCCAACCTATGAGACAGGGGTCCAAAGACCAGTCAGCAAGAGTACAAACTAAACAAGAGTAACTCAGGGCAGCACTACTATCTTGTCACTGAGACAACAGCCACAAGGTCAGTCAAGAAAATATTGTTGTGTGATGTCATCATATGCCATCACATTCTGTCTGCCTCCCATCCCATGTTTTCAACTTGCATGTGTGGTGTGAATGTGTGCAAGCATTTATGCATGGTAAGACCAGGTCGTCTATGTAGACTAGGATGTACAACGGAGTCTGGCCTGAACGAATGAAGAGCAAAGGGTCTGCAGAAGACAGAAAGAACTGGATGTCTACTAGTATAGCGCGCATCATGTCGTGCCACTCACGGGGCGCCGGGCGCCGAAGGAACCACTCGGTCCTAGGAGGGAAAGAGCGAGAGAAGCCTGGCGGATGGCGCAGGTAGATCTGTTCGTGCAGACTGCCCTGGAGGAACACTAAGCAGAAGTTAAGTGAGTGAAGGTCATAGTCGCTTTGTGCTGCTACGTGAAGCAGCGCCCGAAGAGTGATCATCTTCGGGGTCCGGACGAAGGTGTGGAAGAAGTTAACCCCCTCGCACTGACTGAAGCTTCTGGTAACATAGCGTGCCTTTAACACCGGCGGCTCTCCAGGTGGGTGCTTCACCTTGAAGAGCCACTGACCATCAATACGTTCGCACCAGGTGGGGAAACTATGTCGACGTACGTGCCGGTGGATCTCCAAGATGCCATCTTTGCGACCATGGCAGCTTTCCATTGAGAGGACCAGGGTCCTGAAGTCGCCTCAGCGTAGGTGCGAGCAGAGATGAGAAGTGACCTGTTGGGAAACTCATATGCTCCCTCTACTCGGTGCTACCTGTCCCTTGTATTTGGTATCTCTGCTCTTCCTG